ACATAAACGTCGTGTACAGCAAACATGTGCTAATACACACTGACAAAGAGCCACTGCCCACACACAGGTTCAAATTCAGACAGCGGCCTTGCTGCGGCCCCTCTGCCTCACCCCACCTCACTTCAGGCCCTCCCTCCGGGGTCTCACCTTTACAAGCCATGAGAGATGAATCAGAGCCCTGGGCACTGTCATTATTTGCATGTAAAAGATAACACAATACTGTCAGAGGCCACAGCAGATATGGGGAAGGAGGGCTCACAGGGGTGCAGTGTCCCCATGGATACTGACCACAGGACCACAGGCTCTCAGGAACCAGCTCCCCATACTTACTTGCAGCCTGAGCGTAGCCCCCTCCTTTTACACCTGTGGGAAGCAAATGCCCTATGAGAAGCCTGGGAGGAGGCTGGGCCTTGACACCGTGGAAGAACCCCCCAGGCCTGGACCCAGGGAAGTTTCCAGATCTGGGATGCAGACCCAGGGAAGGAGCAGGAGGCACGAGGAAAGGACATGTTCAGGACCTGTGCCAACCGCCCTCTGGAGCTCTGTCCTAGCAGGGACCTCCCCCTCTGACCCTGACTGCTGGGAATCAGGTCCCCATCTCCACAGCCCTCCGGGTGACAGATCTGTCCTTCCTTTTCTGTGTTTCTGTGTTCTGTACAACAGGTCAGTGTGCAGGGCTCCTGGTCAGGTGAGCACGTGTGTGTGGATGGGGTGTCCCACTGTGCAGCAGGCGCACTGCTCCCTGGGGCTGAGACAGGAAGACCCCGCCCCCACCCTACCTGCTCTCTTCCTCCTCCACATCCTGAGAGCAGCACCAGCTCCAGTGAGCACAGCTACAAGGAGAACTGCACCCGCAACAACCTCCAGGGTGGGGAACAGGGGCTGAGCAGGAGACTCTGGAAGGGACGGGACGTTATTGTTAGATCTAAGTGGACCCCGATGCCTCATGCAAATGTGGGGATGGGGAAGCTGACTGCACTGTGGGGCTCAGCGCCGACCTGCGTCAGGATCTAGTGTCTGGGGGAGAAGAGGACCCTGTGGGAGGGGTTTGGTAGGGTTTCTCTCCCTGCTCCGCTCCCCCACTGCTCTCTCTGCTTCCTGTCTGCCCTGCCCTGAGCAGCTCTCCTGTGCCAGGCCCTCTGCCCTGCAGTGCTGCCTGGAACAAGTTCACTTTTGACTGAAACGTCTACAAACGTGCGCTGTAATGAACCCTTTCTCCTTTAATTTGTGAGCATCGGTTGTTGTGTCCCAGAGATGACAGTGACTAAGACAGGGGCCCTGACCCCAGCTCCCCAGCCTGGTCCTCTGAGGGTCTCCAGAAAGACTCCTGCCAACCACGACAAGGGCGCCTGTGCCCTCTCCCCTGCTCTCTTAGTTACTTTCTCATTGCTGAGAGGAAACACCCCCACCTACAGGCTAAAGGGGGAAATGATCATCTCAGCTCACACTTTGTGGAGATTTCAGGGCAAAGTCAGGACCTTTTAAGGCAGGGAGGCGGGGCAGGGGTATCACAGAGGAGAAACAGTCCGCAGCAGGGCCAGCAGCAGCAGCAGCCTCATGTTCTTCCCTGGTTCAGGCAGTGAACCTGTTGTTTCACTCCCACCCTGGGTGGGTGTTTATCTTCCTTCATCTACTCAGCCACACCCAGAGCAGTGCTGATCTGATCAGCACAGTGATCCCGTTATCACACCCTTCATCCAGTGTCACACACCCATAACCAGCCACCTGAAGCAAACCCCACCTACGAGCACATGAGGCTTCAGGGATCACCTAGATACAAGCCATAACAGCCCCTTACCCCATCTCAGGGTGCGGGGCTCAGGCAGTCCCTCGTGCTGCACACGGCACGTGTAATTCTGCTCCTCTCCAGAAGGCACCACCACAGCCACCCACTTCTGGAAGGTTCCATCCCCTGAAGGCCTGGTCTCCACCAGCTCCATGTCCTGGGTCAGGTCCTGCCCATCCCGATGCCAGGTCAGGGAGATCTCCTCAGGGTAGAAGCCCAGGGCCCAGCACCTCAGGGTGACCTCCTCCTTGGAGATGGGGTGGCGGGTCACGTGTGTCTCTGGGGGGTCTGAGGGAACAGAGGGAACATTCAGGCACTTTGCATTCTTCCTGGGCCACTGCAGCAGCGCTCACATGACCATCCTGAGAACAGACAGGACAAGTGGAGTTGGGGAGACTGCAAACCCCAGAGACCAGGCCAGACACAGGCACCTGGGATAATCTATTCCTCCCACAGTTCTAGACTCGGGGTGAGTCGGCCCAGGGGAGGAGGCTCCAGGTCTCTGGGGAGGGAAAGGACCTCTGTGCCGAGCGGGTGGAGATTATGGAGTCAGACCTCCAAGGACCTGGGTGTGGGCAGAGAACAAGCCCGAGAGAGGTCAGTGCACAGCCTCCTGCAGGGCAGGCTGACCGGGCTCTCAGGGGTCCTCCCCTTCCACGCTGGGACAGACCCTTCCTCTCCTGAGAGAAGGGGGCTCAGGACCGCGATCTGCTCTTAGCTGTGAGATCCCAGGAGCGCTCTTCCCCACGATGGAGAGGGCCGCGGTACCGTGGGAAGGGTCCCGTTTTCCTCCCCGGGAGACACCTGCCCAGACACAGCTGAGATGCGGAGGTCTCAAGGCGCGGTACCTGCGCGCTGCAGCGTCTCCTTCCCGATATCCAGGTATCTCTTCAGCCACTCCACGCACTCCCCCTCCAGGTAGGCCCTGAGCCGCTCTGCCTCACGGGCCTCCACCCACTTGCGCTGTGTGATCTGAGCCGCAGTGTCCGACGCCACCCAGGAGCTCAGGTCCTCGCTGAGAGAGATGTAATCCGCGCCGTCGTAGGCGGACTGCTCGTACCCGCGGAGGAGGCGCCAGTCCGACCCCACTTCGCAGCCATACATGCTCTGGAAGGTGTGAGAACCTGGCCCCGCCCCCGCCGTCAGCCCCGCCCCGCCGTCAGCCCCGCCCCCACCCCGGGATTTTCTCCCAAACTGAAAATGAAACCGGGTCCTGTCCCCTCGCGCTTCCGGGACCGGGGTCTCGCGGGTCCCGCAGCCTCCGCGTGACCCTCGGACCTGGGCACCCGGGACCATTCGGGCCGTCCGTGGGGGCGGGCAGGGGTCGTGACCTCTGACCGGCCGGGTCACTCACCGTCCTCGCTGTGGTTGTAGTAGCCGCGCAGGTTCCTCAGGCTCACTTGGTAAACCTGTGCAATGTCCTTGTCTATCTGTGTCTGCTCTTCCCAATACGCCTGACCCTCCCGCTCCATCCACGGCACCCGCGGCTTGGCCCTCGGATCCGCGGCGTCGCTGTCGAAGCGCACGAACTCCGTGCCGTCCACGTAGCCCACGCCGATGAAGCGCGGCTCCCCGCGGCCGGGCCGGGACACCCCGATCTCGAAGTAGCGCAGGGAGTGGGAGCCTGCGGGGCGGGGCGGTGAGACCGCGACCTCCTCCCGCGCCGCTCCCCGCCCCCTCCGCCCGCACTCACCCGCGCGGGTCTCGGTCAGGACCAGGGCCCCCGAGAGCAGCAGCAGGAGGCTTCGGGGCGCCATCACCCCCATCCTCGGGAGTTGGGGACTCTGAGTCGCGGCGCTCTGTGCGGACTTCATAACCGGAGCCGCGGCGACGCTGATTGGTCGCGCTGGGAGCCCGCAGGCAATGGGATTGAGAAGCGCGGCACCGTCACCAGTGTCCAGGCAGAAGGACCCGACACAGGCTGGCAGAGGGAGAAGTGAGACCACAGCAGTCGGAGCTGGGCGAGGCTGTTTCCGGAGCCGGGCGCAGCCCTGGGCTCAGCCCCGCGTAGCCGCGCCCCGGGACAAGCATTCGCCCACCCTTGTGCGCAGGTGGCAGGTTCCCTAGGAGTTGAAGATTTCTGCAATAAATTTAACTGTAAACAATTGTATGTAGCTAATGGCATTTTTGAGAGTCCATATTTAGTGTGCTTAGTGTTTATTACGTTATGCGGAAAAGCCTCATTGAGACCCATGGACTCCAGTGCATCAACGTGATCTTCACACGGAAGCCGTGGTTTCCTATGTGGTGATGAGACATCTCCAAAACATGCCAAGCCTGAGAAAGGGGAACGGATATTTTAATAATTACAGTATACAGAGGACCCCAACCATGATCTGTCACCAAAGGTCATTAAATATCAAAAACCGCGATCACCTGAGCTAATTAGTGTGTTTCTGTGTCACTCTTGACATTTTCGGTTGCTAAACCCGGTAAATTCGAGGAGTCCCACAGCTCTGCACTTAACTGCAGGGCAAACATTTACTGAAGACAGCACCCACAGCACATCATGCAAGTCCTGCAGACATTTTGTAAAATTATCAGCGAAGGATTTAGGCCTTAGAACTCCACCTGAGAACGTGCTGTGGACGGAACGTGGGATTCGCTGTGTTCCCTACGGGTCCGGGTGTTAAAATCCCGTCCCCATTGGGCGGTGCTGAGCGGGTGGAAACTCCTTTGAGTATGGAGATTAGAGGGGAGACTTCCGGAGCTCGCAGGGTTAGACAAGGTCACCGGCTGGAGCCACCATGACTGAAAACTGGTGGCTGCGTAAGGACAGAGACAGGCAGACACCAGAACACAGACCTGAGTGTGGGGCCTGACGTCCCTTGCGTCCCTGCAAGGGACGCTCTGTACCCCTCAGGATGCCCGGCAGGGAGAACATCTCAGATGTGGCCCTCTGGCACTGAACCTCAGAACTGTAAGACACAGGGACCCGTTTTTTTTATTAAGTGTCCTCCCCTCACATAATTTAGTGCAGTAATGGGAATCAGTAACAGCCGGGTACAGAACTCTCCTCCACCTCCCGCTCTGACCTCTGATTACTCCACGGCTCAGAGATGCCCCTCTGTTCCTCTTCATTTGCACTCTTCTCATCACCCCATTGTAGGTTAGGATCTCTGTTCAGATTTACAAGTGTGGGTTAAAGAAGGATTCTCTCAGCCAAACCAGAAGAGAAAAACCACACAGAATAGTGAAATTCACCCAGGTCAGAAGCAATATACTAATGCATGAGCCTGACCAAACTCAAAATCACATGGAAACTGCCAGGACAGTGAGGCAGCGTGTGTCAGTGCTGCTCAGCTGAGGACAGAGGACCCGCCACAGCGGAACAACTTGCGACCCTCACTCACTTCAGCAGCAGAGGATGAGGAGACCTTGGAGAGTCAGGGGCCGGCTTAGTGCAGCAGATGGGAAAAAACAGTTCAGGACTGGAGCTTCAATTTGGGGATCTCAGGGAGACCTGAGGACTCAGGTGCCTGCCCTGATGAGGGTGTTGTCACCACACGGCTGCGGGGCTGTGACGGAGGCTCGGTGACCGGCGCCCGTCATGTGTGCAGGGCAACCGCA